GAGAGAGAGAGAGAGAGAGAGAGAGAGAGAGAGAGAGAGAGAGAGAGAGAGAGAGTTGAGGTTGATGGATGCGGTTTTGTTGTTTCCTTGTCTCTTCCCCCTCTCTACCTGTGTATATAAATTTTGATTGCGGTTCCGGGCGGTTTGCCCGTTCTTATTTTCGCTTCGGCTTTCTGGAATCTGGACTCGGATTTTGCTCACACTTGTCTTCGCGATGTCCGTCTCGATTGCACTATGTATATGATTACTGAATGTATGGATGTATGGATGCTTTGCTTGCGAACCTTTGTCTTGCTTTCTGTGTCGAACCTTTGTCTGCACCAGATGTAGATGGATAGGAATTGGGCTTTGATCGCGATTTCATTCTCGTTTTTGCTTATCTCACAATGAGGTTGTGATATGGTTCCATCTTGCATGATCGACGATCCGAAATCTGGCCCCGTAAACGTCGCGCGAGAACATGTGTAAACGCGATCTGAGTCGCGCCTTTACACGCATCCTCGTGCGTCGATTCACCCGCCCAGACGGGACTCGCGGCGGAACCATCACCCCGCACGAGCACGGCGGCCGCAACCAAGTTCGCCTGTCCGACACGTGCTCGTGTGCGGTGACGACATCCCGACCCGCGCTATCCCACCCACGATGACACCATGACGCGATCTTGGGGCTCAGACTCAACCTATGACCCGGACTATTTTACCCCTATAATAAACGAGCTCATAAGGACACGATACCCCTGCCACACGGAGAATCGGCTATGTCCGCGGGAATTCCACTGTGCCACCACTAGCGACCCTCGGTGCTCCGATTTCCCTTCCCGTGACCACACCTACTATTTCACCCACCCGGGATTCGTTGAGATAACCACCAGTTTCCCTCCCTTCCGCCTCCTTCTCCCGTATTATCAACTCAGTGTCGTTCCGTGGCCGGCCATAGCCCCCTATTGGCCCAATACGTTTTGCGTGAACTGTCGACTCCGGAATTCCGAAGGCCCAACCCAGGTACGCGGCGGCCTGCGCCACGTGGCGGCCCCCGACGGCCTAACTTTCCGGGACCATCTCCACCCCGGAGGGATTTTCCCGTAACCCGTCGCCCACAGTGTCCTGGCCCCTTTGGACTGTGAGACCCTCGTTCGCCTTATTGCATTCATACCCCTAAGACTCCTCCACTTCCCCCAAAAATCCTTGGCACACCCCTTTTCGCACTTCCAGGCCCACACTCCACTCCGATCAGGAAGTCGAGCCGGGCGTGAGGTTGGGCGTCACAGTGTTGGGAGGTATGTGGTGGATAATTCTATTCTCTGGACAGGTTGTGTTTGGTGCTAGGAATTGTAGTGTGTTTCAGTTGTTGTTCAATTGTTCAATGGGAATTCCGGTCCGGTTATCTGGAATTGGTAGTTTGATTGAGATAGATTTTGTAGTGTAGGGTTGGGAGATTCTGGTTCGGGTTATCTGGAATTGGTAGTTTACTTAAGATTGCTTTCGTAGTGGGGTTGGTGCCGTGTTAGGGTAAGGAGTGTGGAGACTGGGCTGTGTTATCGTAAGGAGTGTGGAGACTGGGAATTCCGGTTATCTGGAATTGGAAGGTTTTATTTTGGGTGTGTGAGGTGTGGTCCGTGGGTTGGTTGTAGGTGGGTAGGTGGGAATAGAGATTGTTTTTGTAGCAGGGGTGGTGCAACCTTAGGAGTGTGGACGTTGAGGGTCTGATCCCACCACTACACTACGACTGTAGTGGCCAAAAAGCACTACAAAGATGTCAGCGGCCGTGGCGGGACGAAAAAGATCCCACCAGGGCGACTTCTTCGGTGCTTTTCCTGAACCCGCGGCGGTTCTTTGTGGGCTGTTGCAGAGGGCAGTCAATCTAAATGCTGCAAACAGATGAAAGGGAAAAAAAAAAAAAAAAAAATGCTCCCTCTTTTTTGCTGCAGAGATGCCTTCAGGGTCTACACAAAAATTGTAGCAACTACGCTTGCACCCTTCGCGGACGTGCTGCCACGACACACACAAACGAAAGTAGGGTAAAATATTTCGGCGGCCGTGACCACGTCAAAAAGTGGTGGGATCCAAAAACTACACTGTAACTGGGCTGTAGTGTAGTGGTGGGATCAGGCCCTGAGTATGCAGGGATGGGGCTCCGGGGCCAGGTCCCACTAGCAGCAGTGTGTTTCCTCAACGCCTGAATCTGGGTGTGTTTGCGGGGAGGTGGGGTTACTGAACGCTATTTTTTGCACATCTCCACAAAGACGTCCAAATTCAGGTGTCGAGGCTGCTAGTGGGACCTGGCCCCGGGCTCCTGGTGGGGCAGGACAACCTGCCATCCCTATTATCGAGTATCCTGATTATGGGCCTCCCTGCACTACTCTTGAAATGTGCAAAACGAGAGTGAATCTTCCGCTAGAATATGGACAGATACACCGCCATGATTTTTGTCTTTTGTGCATTTCAAGAGTAGTGCAGGGAGGCCCTATGTAATTGCTTTGGGCACTGGCCCCCGCCGGACCCGTTTTCCGGCAACCAATAAAAAAAAAAAAAAGGGCAATTTCGGACCCCCAAAAAAAAAAAAAAAAAAAAAAAAAAAAAAGAATAATTTGACAGAAGAACATAGTTCAGTTTTGTAAAGAAAATAAAAAGCCGAAAAAAACACAAAGGGCGTCGCCGCACGGAACAGGAAATGAAAAACGAAACGAGTGCATCTTCCTGCAGAAAACGGCCAGGTTCATCCGTTCGCTATAAATAGTAACCAGTGTATTTTGCCAGCTTTCGTGGGCAGATGCACTCCTTTCGTTTTCGTTTCGTGTGTCGTGCGACGAGACCCAAAGAGTTGGAAGTCACATAAAAAAAAAAAAAAAAAAGGAGCTTGAAAGTCAACAGCAGGTGGAGCTAGGAAGCAACTTGGAAAGAAGCTGTTCGCTGATCCAGGGCATCGCCACTCTCGAAAATGTGCAAAATGAGAATGAACCTTCTCCTAGAACATGGCCAGATGCGCCCGCCACATTTTTGTCGTTTTCACATTTCGTGAGTCAATGTGGTGTGGCGAACCCGCCAGGAAGCAAGAAGGAAGCTCTGCGCTATCTACTCTCGATGCCCGAATAGAACGCCCGGTCATTTGGGGCAACTTTCAGTCCACATATGGCCGCCTATGGGTCTCGCCGCACGGCACACGAAACGAAAACGAAACGAGTTCATCTGCCCACCA